TGCAAATAATTCCGTTAAATAGCTGTAATATCAAAGATGCATTGCTTACAATGGTACTTTCTACTTATCTGGAAAATCCATGAGACTAAATATTTCATTTTCATATGCTGTTTTAAAAGTGGCTTTCTCTCTGTGTTATACATATTTTAAATATAGATATATATAGATTTCAATACAATTGTGTAATACATAAAGTATTTTATAACATGTGCTAGAAATATCAAAGGCCTATGTTATAGCATTTATTCCAAGTACTATATTAGATGAGAATCATGCATACCATGAACTGAATTGTGTATCCCCCAAATTTATATGTTGAAGTCAAAGTCCTGATGCTCACCATGATGATATTTGGAGACAGGGTCTTTATGGAAGAAATTAAGGTTAAAGCAGATCATAAGGATGGGGCCCTTGCCCAATAGCATTATTAGTATCCTTCAGGCGTCTTCAAACTACGGCCCGCGGGCCACATGCGGCCTGCAGAGGAGTCTGATCCGGCCCGCCAGGTGTTTTGGGCAGTGAGCGCAGCCGAGGTGTTACAGTAGAAATTAGTAGTTCATATAGTCCGGCTCTCCAGCTCTCTGAGGGACCGTGATCTGGCCCCTACTTTAAAAAGTTTGAAGACCCCTGCAAGAAGTAAAACTAGAATATCTCCCCCCCCCCAACTTCCATATGAGGCCTGAGGGCATCGTGAAAAGGCAGGATCCCAAAACTAGGAGGAGAGCGTTCACTCAAACCAAACCCCGCTGCCATATTGATCTTGGCTTTGCAGATTCTAGAACTACGAGAAAATAAATTTCTGTTGTTTCAACCCCCCAGCCTAGGATATTCTATTATGGTGACCCACGCTGGGTAAGAAAACGTACACTGATTGTAAGTTTCATAGGTTCTGAGGTCAGTGAGGCTCCGGTTAGTCAGCTTACTCTCTTCATCCTTATGAATGGTCTACAGACGTTCCCATCATCTTTTATAAACACGGTTTGTCCCGTCCATGTCTTCCTGAGGCTTTGGGATAACATCTAGCTTCCAAGAAAGATGCAGTTTGCAGAAATCTGTTTACTTGTTGGCTGATTTATAGCACCAGTTGTCAGGTCTATAGGACAGTGATCAGTATAGAACACATCTGAAAATATTGCTTACTCCAACTCATTAAAGCTTGCCTGAGCTTAAACACAGCTGATTGGCCCGCGGCAAATGTTTACAGAGCCCAGTCCCTGTGGTCACAGCGATCGCCATGGGCGCCACATGTGGGAGACACAGAGTTCTCAGCAGGAAGCCGCCGTCAGCCCATCTGCTGGTGCCAAGGTCAAAGATACCAATGCAAGAGCTCAGCAGGCACAGGGCACATGCAGAGAGGGACCAACCTTATCTGCTTCTTTCCCTTGAGATGCACACTCCACAGTCTAAGCAGAATCTCAAGACCTTCCACCACTGCTTTCGTGGTCAGAGTGTGATTTCCACAAAGCACCTCTCTGAGGGGGAGGCGGCATGACCCCAAGGCCAGAGATTGGGAGGCTTCTGTTTTTTTTTTAAAAAAATATATAATTTATTGATTTTTCACAGAGAGGAAGAGAGAGGGATAGAGAGTCAGAAACATCAATGAGAGAGAAACATCTATCAGCTGCCCCCTGCACGCCCCCCACCAGGGACATGCCCACAACCAAGGCACATGCCCTTGACCAGAACCGAACCTGGGACCCCTCAGTCCGCAGGCCGACACTCTATCCACTGAGCCACACCGGTTTCGGCAAGGCTTCTGTTTTTATTGCTGTGTCCCTGACAGGGTCTGCTCCTTGGGTCAGGTAACTGCCTGCTCAGACCTATGTCCTCACCAGTAAACACGTTAAACTAGGTCACAAGTGTTCGCATCGTCTCAGTGGCAGTGAGGACGATAAGGTGGCTGAGAGCTATATTCTGTGGTTTCACACCCACTTCTGTGCTCACCTCCCGAGATGCTTTTCCAGGAGAAAGAGCACCTCTGTTCTGTGTATTCCAATTTTCAGTGTCTGAGCGTGGTGACTTCACATGTCACATAGCATGTGGATGCCATGATTTCCCACGGGTGCTCCTTGCGCACATGGGCTTCCCTGCTCAGAGACCCTGAGTTGCTCTTCTGGGTCCTAGTGCCGCCCCGAGACAAAGCACGTGGTTAGTGGTGGGGGTGCGTTAGGAACAGCGACTTTCATAAAACTCCTGGAGAGAACAGGTAGCCTTGGGTGAACTAAGTAACCTCTGGCTCTTGAAAATGATACTTCATCCACATTTACCCACACCTTTTAAAGACTAACAAATTTCACATATGAAGATTTGTGAACACTGATAGGCTAGTACCTATTTGAAAACAGCTATCAACGACATTACCTTGAAGGTAGTCTGCTTTTAGAATATATATATGTTATATACATGTATATCATATATACACACACACAAAGAAAGAAAGACCAAAAAGCATGGAGAACAACACGGAAGATTTTGAACGACTAAGCGATAATGTGTCCGAGTCAGAAAGAGCCTTTAAGAACAATCATCTGCCAGAGAAAGCCCCTGGGCTCTGTGTATGACAGCGGGGATGGGCGCTGTCACCTCACAGCTGATGAGGGAGAAGAAATTTGGCAAAAACAACGGCGGTGAGGGGCACAGGTGTACGTGACCAGAGGGAGGTGTAACCGCATTAAGAGGCTGGGAAAACAGGAGCAGATGGCTGGGTTAGAAATGGGAAGATTGATGAGCCGGCCTGCAAACAGTGGATGTGAGCTCATTGCTTTCCATCACCCACCACACCTCACAGGTCCACGCCTGGCCTCTCCGAGTGGGGCGGGGGGGGGGGGGTGATGGAGAGAGAAGGGCCTCGGAGTGAGTGGCATTCCCAGGGCAGACTGCTCTGCTAGGGGCTCGTCCATCTATCGTCTGGCGAACACTGTGGGAAACAGAAATGACAGCAGCGGCTCTGATGCATCCAGTGGGCCAGGCCCTGCTTGCAGAGATAAGATAGCGGGTCCCTGAGTCATGGCTTCAGGCTATTCCCCGGCTGATAAGAACGCTGGCAAAGGACTGCGAAGGGGGAATAACAAATGTCTGGGTTTGAAAAAGGGAGCCTGTAACGGTTACGTGCAAGGATGAAGCTCAGCTGCACTGAGAGGCTAAGGCAGGTGAGACCAGCAGGCGGTGTAACAAGTCTTCTAGAACATGTGACTCACCAGGCCATCCTATTGGGGGCCCTTAATACGTCCTGTCTGGTTCTCTCATGGAGTTTATTTTCTTACAGGTTTTTTGCTGGTTATCACACTCAGCAGAGGAAGGCTGAGTAGGGACCCACAGGCAGTCTCCATTGGGGCTGCAGCCTGACTCCTAACAGGACCGGCTGCAGGAGAGAGCGGGTACACAGGGCCAGCACCTGTTTTGTGCATTTGGAGGCGGTGGGAGGAAGAGGCAGAGTCAGCAGAGAGGAAAGCGGACAGGCAGGAACTGCATGGAAAGACCTTGGGAGCAGAGATCACTTCAGAGTGGAAGTCTGAGGATGTGGGAAAAAAATGAAAGCGACCAAAGAATCTGAAGAATGGGAAACGGTCAGGAGCAGCCAGAACGTGACTTCAGTGTCCAGTGTGGGAAATGCTGTGAGAGGAATGGGTGGCCACGACTTGTGTCTGAATGGGGGCCAGGAGCCCGAGCGGCTGGCAGTCCTGAAAGAATCCAGCAATGAGGGCCTCTAGAGGGGACAGGGTTCATTTCACTTTTAACTTTTAAAATATTTTAATTGATGTTTTTAGAGAGAGAGAAGAGGAGGAGAGAGGGAGTGAGAGAAACATCGACATGATAGTGAAACAGCTGGGGGCTTCCACTCAGGGATGGAGCCTGCAAACTGGGCGTGTGCCCTGGCTGGGAATCGGACCAGTTACCCTCGTGGATGGGATGAAGCCCAATCAACTGAGCCACACTGGCCAGGGCAGAACAGGGCTCATTTCAGGTAGCAGGAGAAATGCAGTCGGGTAGAAGATGCCATCCATTCGCCATCTACCTTGTACCAGGCCTTTGTTTGGGTTACGACGCATGGTTCTCACAGACAGGCATCGTTTCACACACAGGGAAACAGACAAAATGCGGGGCTCACCCAGGGTCCTCACCTGGCAACTGAGAAGTGAGCGACGCGGGCCAGCCCTCGAGCCCAGGCCTCTCCACCACCTCAGGCTGCTTCCTGCCTCGCTGGCCCCCGGACCCCGAGTCCGATGGAAACCTCACGGTGACCACCGCCACCCACAATGCCCTGCCGCGGCCAGTTTGTTAGAAGCAAAGACGAGCTCCAGGTGAAGGCGTTGGAGTTGCTTAAGTAGAACCCAGCTCACCTGGCCGGGAAGGAAGACACACGGGGGCAGGAAGGTGCTGTGCCGAGGGCAGCAGGCTCGCACGCTCGGGACCCCAATCCGGGCTCGGCATTCTCAGCGTTGGCTGCACAGCGGGACAGCGGGGGCTCCACACCCTCCTCAGGCCTCCTCCCGCCCTGGAGGTTCTCATTTCCTCGCTGGGGTCATCGAGGTCATTGGGGTCTTCGGGGGTCTCCCCGCTGACATGTGTCACTGGAGCCGCCCAGGTGGCCGGGTGCCCATAGCGCGCCTGGTGCTTTATGGGAAGCAGATGCTGAGAGAGTGTTTGGGAAGTTAATGCAATGAGCAGCAGTGTGATGGTCCTCATCAGCCCTCATGCCTTACTGGGTGTTATTTCCAGCAATGCTTTACGCTTCCGAGTAGCACAAGTGAGCCTCCGAGAGCTGGGCAGCAGCAGACTTCTGAACCGGGGCACCTGTGCGGTCCCATCCGCAGCCAGCGCCCTCTTTGGGTGTGGAACCCAGACCCTGAAAACACTGCAGGACTCCCCGGCCTCAGCATCCTCGGGGGAAGCATCACAGCTCAGCTGCTGTTGGGGGCCAGAGAGGCTGGAGACCCTCAGAGTGAAGGTCAGAGGTCTCTAGCTCCGTGGTCAGCAAACTGCGGCTCTCGAGCCACAGGCGGCTCTTTGGCCCTTTGCGTGTGGCTCTTCCACAGAATACCATGGCCTGGGCGAGTCTGTGTTGAAGAAGTGGCGTTAGAAGAAGTTTAAGTTTAAAAAATGTGGCTCTCCATAGAAACTTTAATCGTTGTGCTGTTTATATTTAGCTCCGTTGACTAATGAGTTTGCCGACCACTGGTCTAGTTCAAGCCCATGGTGACTGTGGGCCCATTACTTGGCCTCTGCGTATTCGGTTTCCTCGCCTCTTCCCTGAGGTGAGGAGCGATCATGCCTGCCCCCCAGGGCGTGGTGGGGCACAGAGAGGTCTGTCTGTGAAGTACTAGGCTAGTGCTCAGACGGGGACGTGCCACATAATGGCGTGCAATCATTGCGGGGAGAATATTTTATTAACCTGAGTGCACAGGACTGTCTGTCAGCTGCTAGCAACGCGTTAGAAGATTCTCAGCAGAAGTTGCTGCACCCGGAAGACTCCTCGGGGACATAAGAGCGGGTGTCAGGTGTGTGAGCATAGGGTGAGCGGGCCGAGCGGCCGGCTGGTCCTGCCCTTGCCCTTCACGGCCTGGTCCGCCCTGAGGCAGCCTCGCTGGCACCGCCCACGTGGGCGAGGGGCCTGGCTGTCACGCTGCAAGCAGCCATGCAGAAGGCTGGGCAGGCAGCCCCCGGGGCCTTGTTCTCGTCACTTCCTTTTGCTTCCAAATGAGAGTGAGGCAACACGGCAGCCCAGCAGCTGTGGAGAGGACGGCTGATTGTGAAATAATTTGGAAGGATCCAACGTCCCATCCCCCCCACCCCCCCCCATCAGGCAGGAGGAAGCCTTTCCAAGTGGGAGCAGCGGGAACGGGCCCGTGTGCGGGGCACGTGTGGGCGGGACATGTGTACTCCGGGGCGCCCGTCCAGGTCCCTGCACATGGCTTCTGGGACACGCGGAGAGCAGGATGGAAATCAGCTGCCGAGGGAGACCGAAACCAGGGGAATCTTTTATGTTAAATAGTTATAAGTGAGATTAAGTAAAGGGGTACAAGGAGCCTCAGCCCAAGCAGCAGGTTCCCTCCAGTCACTGGGCCCTGGTAGAAGTCGGGAGGAGCCCCTGTGAAGTTCACGTCCCACTTTGCTGTCCTCTCCCGGAGGTGATAGATCAAAGACAGAATCTGAGGAATCGGATGGGTTATTTTGGGTTTCCAGCTGTGAATTTTCTGGATTTCAAAACTCCTGCCTGGATATTTATTTTTTCTCCTGGGAGAGAAGGGAAAAGTCCCTCGCCTGCATTCCCACTGTCTAGGATATGAGCTGTGACAAGCCCTGCTGGCTGACCCCTCGGAAGAGGACATGGCATTTGACCAGCTCAGCATTTCTTCCCCTTTTCTCACTGCCGCGGTACTGTACACGCACCCTGGGGACCCGCGTCGCCGCGGAGGAGCCTGGTAACGCGACCCGCACAGAGACAGGCCCTGCCAGGCCATCTCTCCCCGGCTCAGCGGGCATGCCGCGGTTCCCAGGCGCCACACAATCCCAGTGACCGCCTGGGACGTTATGGAAATGCCTCCTCTGGGTTTGGCTTTAAGAAATTAATCTGTTTTTTTAAAAAACAACAAAAACTTCACATTCCATTTCTCACGCAGTCAGTGTACTGGCTGGTTGACAAGACCCAGACAATGCCAGGGCCCGTTCCTGGCCCAGATGTGGGAGACCCACAGCTTCCACGGCCTCTCTCCTAGAACACGTGTGCATGCAAACCTGCACCGGCACATGAGGCCAACCCCTGCCTGTCTGTGCCCAGGGCCCGGATGCTGGACTTCTTTGCAGCAATGGGGCAGTCCTGTCCACTGAAAGAGGCCACGCATGTACTTCAAATGTTCTGTAAGGCATCCACACCTGGGAATAATGAAACTCTTCTTTAATTCTATTTTCTCTTTCAGTAACCCTTCCTAGTGGGACACTGGGCCTTCCCATCTCATCCTTTCTCTCTCTCTCTCTCTCTCTCTCTCTCTCTCTCTCTCTCTCTCTCTCTTTCTCTCTCTTCGTCAATTTGTATTGAATTCTGGGAGACTTCCTTGGATTGGTCTTTCAATGTATTTGTTTATGTCTTCTTTGTGTTTATTCTTGTGTTCAACATTCTGATTTTGTCTTTCAATTTTGTAGATAGGTGCGGGATGAGTTAAGTCTTCAGAGGTGAGCAGCTCACACTCTAGGAAGGTGTCCAGCGAAGGCCTGTGTTCTGACCTGGGCTAGGGAGCTCCTGGAAGGTGAGCTCTGAGTCTTTGGACCCTTCTTCTTGGGCCACACAGTGCCAGTGTGACCGATGGCTTGTGTTCTCAAAGGTGGCTCATGGGGAGCCTGTTTGGACTCTGAGGAGGCTAAGTCCCGCTTGCCTACTTGGTTGACCCCAATAAAAAACGTGAACAAGTGAGCTTCCCTGAGTGACAACGCATCACAGGTGTCATTACACTTCATCTTCTATGCTAATAAAAGGGTAATATGCTAATTAGACCAGAGACCTTCCAGGAGACCTTGCAGATGTCCTCCTGGACAAAGCCAGGGTGGCAGGGCCGAGGCAGAGGCAGTTAGGGGCAAGCAGGCTGTCTGGGGAGGGCAGTTGGGGGAAACCAGGTTGGCAGGGAAGGGAAGGCATTTGTGGGAGACCAGGCCTGCAGGGAAGGGCAGTTGGGGGCCATCAGGCTGGCAGAGGAATAGTTAGGCATCGATCAGTCTCGCAGGGGAGTGGTTAGGGGGTGATCAGGTTGGCAGGCAGGCAAGTAGCTGGGAGCCAGCGGTCCCGGATTGTGAGAGGATTTCCTACTGCTTGTCCGACTGCTGGTCAGCTATCCCCCGAGGGGTTCCAGATTGGAGAGAGATGCAGGCCGGGCTGAGGGTCACCCCCTGCATGAATTTCGTGCTCTGAGCTACTAGTTGTTTGTATAATTATGCACATTTGAGTGTCTCTACTGGTGGAGGACACTTGGAGGTGTGATCTGGTTTCTCTTGGAATTCACTCACGTGTCTTTTCCCTCCTGACTTTAATCAGTAGCCTCTCTCTGCAACCAGGAGTTTAACACCATTCTGCGACCCGTGAATCCTCCCAGCAAATCACTGACACACAAATACATTTCTCTCTCCTCATATTCCATCACGGTCATTTTCTAAGCAGACATTGTTCACAGTCTTCTATCAGTATGGAGACATTTTATTTCTATTTCTTTATTTCTTAGAACATTTTAAACTTACTTGAAGCTTCTTTCTGATTTTTAAAATGTACCTTTTTTGGGTTTGGTCTGCAAATATTTCCACTTGTTAAAGCTTACTGGTTCTCACCTAAGTGTGTCTAGCACTCAGTCACTTAGCAGTCGGCTGCCTCTGCAGCACCTGAAGACTCCATGGCGCTGATGCCAGGCTGTGGGGACATTTCTAACGGCCGAGTTAAGTTTACCTTACCGGCCAATTTACATCAGGACCCCAGGAGTTTCTCTGGCTCTGGACCAGAACGTAAATTAGATTTTAAACGCACAGAGAGAATAGGATTGGGGTTCCACTATTGTTTTATTCAAATCTTCCCCCTGTTCCCTGCCCTTGGTTTCAGCAAGCACTTTTACCTCATTTCCAGGTTAGTGGGTGGCACTTAAAGTTTTCTCCAATTTTTGTTTCATAGGATTAATGAAAGTTGGGAAATAATATAAAATCTCATCACCTCTTTCCATGCTCAATCGTGCTTTAGTGCTTATTGTCCGGAAATAACTGCCATGAGCCACTGTCTTCTTGGTTCAGCTGCCTGAATCACAAGGACATTTACTTGTCTCGGGAGTCCAATATATTTTTAAAATAAGTTTTTATCATTTACTTCAAATTTATAGATATGATCTGAATACCATCTTGTTTTAGTGTCAACTTTTATCTCTTTTTCTTACATGTAGAGAGCTTAAGGTTATACATACATGGGCACACTTCCTTTGTGTGTAGAATCCTAAGAGCCGAAGTTATCAATAGCGGATTGTTTTTATAGGGGGCCTACTCTTTGAATGGCATCTTGTCTACCTTAGTTTTTTCTAAGCCCAGGCCAAATCTTATTTTTTATAAGAATTTTTATTAATAATGCAATTAGGAATATAAAGAGAACACTGTTTACCAGTTTCTAAAGAATTTGTAGACCTAGTCCTTTCAGAATGTGAATAATTATAAATATCATTGGAGATCAGAAGTATGGAAGGGATATGGCTACTATAAAAAAGGGAACATAATAAAGAAAAAATGAAGACATTGATAAAATGTCTAATAAATTCTTTAAGTCAGTTACCATGGAGATAATGGAATGGACAGAAAACCCACAGATCTTCTGGGAAAGGGTTTTGAAAGTTCTCACACACCAGTATGCAAGGTTGAAAAGGAAGTTGGATGTCTAAACATTGCAGAGACTCCAGGGAAAGGCACGGCTTCTGAGTTCTAATTGATGTGACCAACAGTGTAAGCAAAACCTTAGAGATAAATCTGCAGTTTCATGAAGAAAACTGTAGATCAAAAGGGCGAGTGCTTGTTTTTGCCAAGATTTCAAGAGGCATCACTACTATTTAGCTTCACGTTGAGCATGGGGAACGGGAGTGCTTTGGAGTGTTTTTCTAGAAGTATACCACTTTTCCAGGTTCTTGTACCCTTTCATGGGTGATAGGGTACAAATTGTCTTTGGAACCTCTCAAGCATCTATATATATATATATAAAAGCCTGATATGCAAAGTGTCCCCTCGGGAGTTCGATCGACGTTCGACCGCTCACTCTGATGTGCGCTCACCACCAGGGGGTGTTGTGAATAAAGGAAGGCCTTGCTGGCAGCTGGTAGCCAGTAGCCAGGGAAGGGAGGCCCTCGCTGGCGGGCAGCAGCCACAGGGACCTTACCCAGTGCATGAATTTCATGCACTGGGGCCTCTGATGTGAAAACAAAGGAGAAACATTCATAAGACTTGTCAATAACTTTAAAAAATTGACCTAATATGCTGTTCTACCTGAAAGAGCAGATGTCAGTGTCTAGTGTGTGTGTGTGTGTGTGTGTGTGCGCGCGCGCACGTGCGAGCATGTGTGTGCCTGCAAAATGAAATAAAATGAAAAACCTGCCATCTTGCATAGTGTATGCACTGCTATGCTTACCTATTTTAATGGGCCCAAGGGTTTTGCTAGGCAGGACTTTGCTAATGGCTGTTCTGTGGAATTAGGAGGGCTATTAGGAACAAGGGAGATAACCGTGGACAACAAAGAAGGATGGTTTAGCCCGCATCTGCATTTGTTCCCATCATGGCTGCCTTTTTCACGGTAACAGACTTCAGTGTGTATCTTCTGTGTCTCTGCCATTTCCCAGGCTCCTTCAGGTGCCCCTTACTTGGTCCTCATTTGTTTGCGTGATGCATCTCCTTCTTCCTGTTTGTGCCGCCCTCACTGTGTGCGCTGTGGGACACCGAGGCCCTCTTTGTTGGTTATGTTGCTCCTACATGCAGACCCTGGAGTAGACCCCTGGGTCCAGCCATTCTGCCTCTTGCAGCCCACTTCACCTGCTCTCTGGCAGACATTCTTTGAAACAAGATGGAATTATAACAAATGAAAGACATCTAAGTGGACCACAGGCATCTACACATGTGATAAAATTGTGTAGAACTGAATGCACACACAGAGAAGTGCATATTTCTATAAGTGTGTTGGTTACAGTGCATGCATTTTAAGGCTGATGGAGTGTGTCAGTGTAACTCTCCTGACTGGGATATTGTACCTGGTTCCACACGGCATTATTGTGGGAGAACACCAAATGAAGTGTTCACAGAATCCCTGTTATTTCTTCCACAAGCATGTGCGTCCACAATTATCTCAAAAGGAAAAGTGAAGAGAAGACGTGTTAGTGTGAACATAATTGAGAGTCTGGGTTCCGCTTGTCTTCCCCTGAGTGAGTAATCTTGGACTAACCATGCTGCCCCTCACAGCTCCCTGGTTGTGAGTAAAGCAAATTAAATGCTACATGCATTAGGGTCCTTCCACTACACTTACTGTCAATGCTGAACTATTTTTCACTCCTTTACTCTGTCCGCCAATAAATCCTTACGAACACGTGCTATGACCAACTATCCTGGAGGCCCTGAGTGGTGGACATGCGTTTTCCTGGAGCTGGTTTTCCTGGCTGGTTTTCCACTCACATAAACGGGCTGCTTCCTCGCTATCTTCTCATTTTGTGTTGGGATACATCCAAGTGGACTCCAATGGCTTTAGACAGAACCCGAGTCTTCAGGTAGAGAACTGTCAAGTTTAAAAATAAACAGCAAACCCCACCAAGATTCCAGGAAGTAGAGAAGCACACGAGCTACTGTGGGATGGAGCCAGTGTCCAGGAGCCAAGGAGAGTGTTTCCTTTGCAAAGGCCCGTGGTCAGCAAAGTGCTCACCTCCTTACAGGGAGGAGGGTGTCAGGATAAGCTGCTCGGATAAGCCATCACTGACAAGAGAGGAAATCTCACTAATGTCTTTTTGCTCTTAAATTCATTTTAAAAAATATATATTTTTATTTATTTTTAAAAATATTTTTATTGATTTCAGAGAGGAAGGGAGAGAGAGAACTAGTAACATCAGTGATGAGAGAGAATCATGGATTGGCCGCCTCCTGCACGCCCCTCACTGGGGAGCGAACCCACAACCCAGGCCTATGCCCTTGACGAGGAATCGAACTCGGGACCTTTCAGTCCACAGGCCGACACTCTATCCACTGAGCCAAACCAGACAGGGTTAAAAAATATATTTTTATTGATTTCTGAGAGGAGGGGAGAGGGAGAGAGAGATGGAAACATCAATGATGAGAGATAACCATGGATTGGCTGCCTCCTGCACGCCCCACACTGGGGATCAAGCCTGCAACCTGGGCCTGTGCCCTGACAGGGGGTCAAACCCTGACCTGCTGGTTCATAGATTGACACTCGACCTCTGAGCCACGCCAGCCTCGCCTCTTTAATTCACTTTCATTGTAGCTGACAGACGGTGTTATATTAGTTTCCGGTAAACAACATAGTGACTCTGCATGTTTATGTCTCACAGAGTGATCACCATCAGCCCAGGGGACACCTGTCACCCTGCTGTTACCACGCTGCTCCCTGGCTGGGCCGCCTCCTCAGCACATTTCATAGCCGACTTTGTGCTTCTCACCCCCTTGTCTGTCATCCTCTCAGCCACCTCCGCTCCGGGGCCATCCGCTTGATCTCGGGATGTTGAGTTTGTTTCTGTTTCCTTTGGTTGCTTTTGTTATTAAGATTCTGCATATAAGACGGATCGTATGTGTCTTTCTCCGTCTGACTTATTTCACTTAACGTAAGACTCATGGTGAGCAAAAACGAGGAGGGATATCTATGCATCTGACGAGGCCCAGGGCACCCATGGCAGGCCTGAGGAGCACAGTGACCGACCGTCAGCACCGAGGGTGGTCTGGTCTCAGACTTGTAGCTGGGCAGGTGCTGGTGCACAGGCATGGCCACACGCCCGGGCCCACAGCTTGCTTAGCAGAGGCTGACCTTCCTCCTCAGTGCCCTCTGTCCATTGTTTTGCGCATCGAGGATAAGATGCCATGGAAAGGTCAGTCTTTTTTTCTGGATCCTTCAGGCCAGACCCGCAGGCTGCAGAGGGCAAGCCCACCAGACCTCCAGCCGCAGAAGCCATGCTCATGCTGCCTGCTTGCCCGCATGCCGTCTCGTGGGCTGGGAATGGTCAGCATGAGCTAACAGCACCACCAACGGGAAAGCAGTACCTCCCGCTCCACATTATCCAACCCCCGGTTTCCCCGCTTTGCTTTCTCCCCCCTCCTTAATCTACCATCAGTGGAGTTCATGTGCCTTCCTTATGTTTTCTCTGTTGACTCTAAGTGCCTGAAAGAAACTGCAAATCTTCCATCACTGTAGCATTTTCTCACAAACATGGCTCAAATAAACTCTTATAAAACTTTTTTGTAGGTTTGGATGCTATTCTGTGGACTCTCGTTAAACTATTATTTTTTTCCTTTTATAAAAATGTACTGAATTTATTGGAGTGACACTGGTTAATAAAATTATATAAGCTGCAGGTGTACGATTCTATAATACATCATTTGTATATTGTGTTATGCGTTCACCACCCACTTACTAAATTCTTAAGGTTCTTAAGTTACAGACTCTATTCCTAGCCTCAAGTACTGGCACACTCATTACTTCATCTCTGGATAGAGGCAACCCTATTTTAAACTGGAGTCGGATGATGGGAGATAGGATTAATTCTATTTTTATTTCAGGAGTATGCATGGGGGAATACAAAGGAAGAAAAATGTCAGAAGAGTTTCTCTCTAATTGAACACTTTCCTTATTTTCCCAATCCCACACAGGAAATGGGCTGGGGCTGTGTTGTGTGTGTTTTCCCAGCCTCTGTCTGTAGAGCATTTTTCCCAGGATGAGGAAGACAGATCTTGGAGACACAGCGACGGCATCAATAGCTGCGATCACTGGCCCGTCCGAGGGCGTTGGATAAGGACCCCCTACCTGCCCCGGGGCTGGCCCGTCAGGCAGTGGAGCCCACGCCCTGAGAGCAGACACCTGGGAAGCTGCTGACTGTGCTACTGAGAGCTTCCCCTGGGGTCTCCCCTGAGATCCCAACCCTAAACCCTTAGGACTGGGGAGGCCGAGGCCCTCCCTCCTGGGAACCCCCTCCTTGCCCTCCCCTCTCTTCCCCTCCCCTCACTCACCCCACCGCCTGGTGCGTTAGCTTCCTCCCTCCCACGCTCCAGGGCCCTTCCTGTACCTCTGTACCTTGTTTCCTGAGCCCATTCCTTCTAGGAATCACTTTTCTACTTCTGAGATTCACCCAGAAACACTCTCTTACAAACGAGTGGGGTTGTATGGGGGCAGAGACGACATTTGGTGGCGTCTCTTGCTTCATCGTTAGAACGTCTGTGGTTATGGTGGAGGACTGTAGGTGTGAGATGAGGTGACTTGCCAACTTTCCTGCCTCCATCTCTCCCTTCTGCCTCCGGAGACTGTGGATTCCTTGTTCATGCTTCACCCACACGTGTGTCATGGCAGGATCTGAGCTGCCGCCTCTGACTGGCACGGCCCCTGCTGGTCCCGCCCTAGACTCTTTCCTCCTCTCTCACTTTGTTCAGTTTGCAGCTTCTGCATGGACCTGCTTCCTCCTTTTCTATCCTGGACTTCGTGTTGGCGGATGCTATTTTTGTTAGCAATTCCATCAACATCCTTTTCCTTTGTCTTTCAACAGAAACTCCCTCTAGACCAGCGCCACCGCGGGAATCTCTGATCCGGGGAAGGAAACATGGACATCGAGGAACCAGCGATTCAGACCTTAGGCTCCGGGGTTTTTCAACACCAGCCTTTTGCCTTTGCTTGTTCACTGTGAAAACTTTGGGATTCCCCTCCCAGCTTCCCAATGTGACCGGTCCATGCTGTGGGTCTCAGGGCTCCTGTTCTGGATACATAAGTCTGGGTGGGCCCCACACTTCGCAAGGACAGATCTTGGAAGCTGTGTTGGGAAACAAGTGGCAGGAAATAGTTCAGCCTTGTTTTCCGAAAGGCCACTCTGTAACCTGTGGCTCTCCTAGCTCCGTGGTAGGCAAACTGCGGCTCGTGAGCCACATGCGGCTCTTTGGCCCCTTGAGTGTGGCTCTTCCACAAAATACCATGGCCTGGGCGAGTCTATTTTGAAGAAGTGGTGTTAGAAGCTAAGTTTAAGTTTAAAAAAATGTGGCTCTCCAAAGAAATTTCAATCATTGTCCTGTTGATATTTGGCTCTGTGGACTAATGAGTTTGCCGACCACTGCCCTAGCCCATCACCAAACTCCTGACTGCCTGTTCAACTTGGCTTTGAAGAACTGGCTGCGGAAAGCCGTGAGTCAGCAGCTGACGGTGACGAATGAGGGGCTCACCGGAGCCAGAGGAAACAGAGGAGCTTTTCAGTCATGGAAGGTGGGCGACTAGAAACGGGGACAGGGTGGTGGCTGCTGCTGAGGGTAGGAACACAGACAGCAGCCATTACGCTCACTTATTTGAATTCTATTTGCGGCCCTCTTCTTAGTACAGATGCACTTTGTAAAGGTTTTATTTCGTGGAGCACCACCAGCAATACACCAGGCCCAGCGCTGATGGGGTCCGCTCTGTGCCGCCCTGTGGGCTGGGAGGACGGGGAGTGGGGGTGGAGGTGCAAGCTCCCAGCACCTCTGGCCAGTCAGGGCCTCTTCCCAGAGCGTGGCGCTGCCTGTGGGGGTGACTGGCTTTCTGGGTTCCCAGCCCTCTTTCTAGGGCTCCTGGTGTGGTGCGTGCTGACTCAGACGGAACCTTCTGCAGCCTGCTCCTTTCCAAGCGCTACTTACACACCTGTCACTCACGGCTCTTTCTGCTCCGGGCTGATTTATTCCATTTGCCAACGTCCCCTGGTTCCTAGTCTAGTTAATGGCCTGTTCATCTGTACATAAACATTTACACAAGATGGAAAAGATGAAGTAATTTAAACTTGGTCCCTTATTTCCACCCCCGCCCCCTTCAGTGAAAGGTTGGTTATTCAGTGGTTTACGCTCCGCCTTTTATCGCTCCCGGGCGCGTTAATACCTGTGATTAACTGGGTTTTCAGGCCCCCATCTGCAGTTAATCACACGTCACTGCCCTTGCCCCCCTGGCCAATGTACCCTGGCCGGCAACCCGCCCTCTCTCCCCACCTGGCAGCGGAGGCCTCACAGGCCGGCCTACGTCCTCGCTCACAGCCTCCGAGAGGCACTTAAATAATATTTAAAAAGTCACTTTTCTTTTGAAGTGGTCGCAGGAAGCACATGCTTAGTGTACGTACACAGACAGGGCCAGGCGGGCTGTGGGCGCGGTGATTTACGGGCCCGTGGCCACCGAGCCGGCCGGGAGGACTGACAGGCTCCATTGGGCCACGGCCCGGCGTTCCCGGTGAGCGCGCCGGAGGGAAAGAGCCAGCGTCTCTCCACTCCACACGGCCTGTTTTGTCTTTTCCTACAGCTCAGCGGACTTGTGAGAGGCCCTCGTGTTAGCCTAAGCTCTTCACCTTCTCAGTCCTTTGAGCAGGGGAATAACACCTTAAGGATTAACTGTACTCTGGGTAAAAGGGAAAACTGACTCCTTCCCCGTTGCCCCTTCCTAAGGAAGAGGGCAATTCAAACCAATTCTTCCATTTCTCCGAGTCCTCCATAAACCTGTCACAAGGGATTTAATTTAAGGAAGAAAAATGGCGCTAACGCAGAGCAGTGAAACATGTGGTCATGTCTGGCCACTATATTTTTTGGCAAAACTTGATCTAACCCAGGAATTTACAGCTCTTCCAAAACGGAGTGTTTTTGTTGGTGAGGGTAAGTAGGAGGAAGGCAGAAACAAGCATGTGGGATTTTAATTGATTGAGAACTGGGACGTGAGAAATAGCCTCTATTTTTTTTTTCACGTATGAAGGATACTGGGCTATGATTAAAAATTATGAAGGGATTCTGTGGAATTCATACCTTTAATCAAAGAAATCTCACAAGCAAGTTATTCTTTCTTGACCCATCTAATGGTCAAGAGACTGACCACTGTTGCTCTCGGGAGTGCTAGGCACATGGTATGGAAAAGGACACATGAAGGCTGAAATCGATGTCCTGATACGTGATCAAAGAAAACCCTCATTGTCTTTCCTGATTCACGTTAAAAGGCCAGAAATCAGTGCGCACCTACTATGTTTTAGATCTTAGTTGCCCTTAAGTCAAGAATGACATCTCACTGAACCACTATTGCTAAATGTATTGGCTGATGATGGGTAGCTACTCAGAGCTTATAAAGTAGTCTGCTACAGTTGGTCAAACATTGAGTGCGCTCACCCCTGATGCCTCGGCAGGGCCAGACCCAATGAGTTCTGGGGCCCTATGCAGCCAGAGAGCCGGAAGTCCCGCACCCCTGCTTTGTGAGTCAACAGACCCGAGGCCATGCTCTTGAGACAGCTTGAGGCTGACCAGAACCTGATGTCCTAGGGTTTAATGATCCGGAAAGGGCGTGTACGGGCAGAGAGGAGAAAGGGTCACGTTTAAACAGCGGCTTCTCTGTGCCGTCACTCTATTTATTCATCCTCTTTCCCAATGAGGTCAAATGCAGCCTCAGAATCCTGTTCCACCCAGGGCTTCAGGCAGCAACTGTCAACAGTCAGACTTGGGCATTAGAGCTAAGGAAGTCCCTGCCCTAGCAATAGTGGGATTGCAGGGCCATGGAGAGGCAGCTGGCTCTTATTCTGATTTCCTTTTCTTCCCCATAGAGATGCCCCTAGACCAGTGATCGGCAAACTCATTAGTCAACAGAGCCAATATCAACAGTACAACGACGGAAATTTCTTTTGAGAGCCAAACTTCTTAAATTTAAACATTCTAACACCACTTTTTCAAAATAGACTCGCCCGGGCTGTGGTATTTTGTGGAAGAGCCACACTCAAGGGGCCAAAGAGCTGCATGTGGCTTGCGGGCTGCAGTTTGCTGACCACGGCCCTAGCCACTTCCCTCGCTGATAGGTGACACCATCTTGGACAGACAATGCACCTGTCCCCCGACAGTGAGAATATAGAAATCGCTCTGCCAAGTCCTTCCAGCTTCTTCCTATCTGCTTCCTCCCCGTGTGCTCTCTAGGCCATTCCCTATGCTCAGGTTTCCTCCTGATTACCTTTGTTGTTGTCGATAATCCTCACCTGAGGATATTTTTTCCCATTGATTTTTAGAGAGAGTGGAAGGGAGGGGGAGAGACAGACAGACAGAAACATCGATCTGAGAGAGACACATCCATGAGTTGCCTTCTGCATGTGCCGGACACGAGGGATCGAGCCTGCAACTGAGGTATCATACATGCCCTTAACTGGGATTGAACCTGAAGGGTCCAGAGTTAGTAAGTTCCGTCACACGGTCACTGCACAGAGGGTCCTGGGACCGGCTCTCCCATGGCATTGACTGCAGGTTCTTAGATTCCAGGAGTACCGGTTAATAACACGGCTTTTGTAATCAAAGAAAACACGAAAACTTTAAGAGAAACACCAGAAGTTCTTTATTCAAAGTGATGTCCATCGCTAGCTACGCATTCCCCATCTTCCGGGTAATCGTGGGTGCTGCCCAGGAGCACTCCGCTGGCTCTGAGGCGAACATGCAGAGACCCAATGGTAAATCGCGTTCGGTCTGTTGTTTATGCTGCAGCTTAATGATGAACCCCTCACCCACCGAATCCACAGCTGTGGCATCAACGAAGATACACCCTGTCTAGTGCTCCCACCCTGCCCAGTGCTCCCACCCCTGCTCAGTGCTCCCACCCTGCCCATTGCTCCCACCCTGCCCAGTGCTCCCACCACCTTTAAAGGTGCCTGTCCTTGCTGAAACCGGTTTGGCTCAGTGGATAGAGTGTCGGCCTGCGGACTGAAAGGTCCCGGTTCGATTCCAGTCAAGGGCATGGACCTTGGTTGTGGGCACATCCCCAGTGGGGGGTGCAGGAGGCGGATGATCGATGTTTCTCTCTCATCGATGTTTCTAACTCTCTATCCCTCTCTCTTTCTCTCTGTAAAAATAAAATAAAATAAAATAAAATAAATAAAATAAACAAATAAAATAAAGGCACCTATCCTTTGCCAGGGCCTCTCTTCCTCCGGCAGAGGCGGGGAGTGCGAATGGTGCCCACAAGGCTGTCCCCCGAGGGGCAGGTGTGGTCCGGATCCTGGGATTCGTTGCCTCCCCTGCACCCCACTACTCTCCCTGCCTGGGAGCATGTCCCGCCCATGGCTCTCCGTCTCCCAGGGAGTACCCTGTGACAGAAGTGAACTTACACTCCTTGACCTTGACCTTGACCTTGACTGCCTTCGAGACGACCTTCCTGTTCTGGGGCCAGGGCGGCGCTCAGGTGAGCCACTTCACTCACGCCTTTCAGATTTGGCATCATCTGTGGCCCTGGGGTGAGGTAGTGGGGGAGGAGGAGGGAGGAAGAGGTTTCCTCTCCCCTAGAGATGACTCCTGTTGTTTAAAATTACAGTTCACATTCCACATGCTTCTGCATTAGCTTTGGGGGTAAGAAAGGACAATCACCTTGGATGCAGCTTCCGTGTCTGATCTTCCCTGTGTCTCTGCAGTCCCTTCCCAGGGTCTGCTGGGTCCAGGGGGCTTGGTGCTGGTCCGGCTAGAGTGCCATGCTGGATGTTCTGCTGGGAGGTTAAGGAAAAAACAACACCTTTGGGGGACATGCTAGTCTTTCATTTTAAGGCTGAACCCAAATGGCTGCGGGTTTTAGATGTCGTTTCATCCGTGGAGCAGGAATCACCAATCCTTGCGGTGAATGGAGAGTGGAGATCTTGCTGTTCAGCGTCCCAGAATTCCCTCTCCCGTTACGCTGAGAGCTTCCTGAACTTGCGTTTAAGGGATTTCTTTGACTCCTGCTGCTCTCTCAGGGCTGATGGGGATCTCAGCGATGTAATGCCGGGAGCTAATTCCAACAATCAGAAATGCAAAAGTTCACCCAAAGGTTGGTGGACCTTGAGCCTTCAGCAAGGCTGGAGAATCACATGTTACTGCCTGTTGGAAACAGCTGAGGACATTTCCCCAAACCTGAAAAGGATCCTGAGATGATTGCTTGCTGCCAGACAGCTGAGGGCATTTCAATCTACATGTTACTACCTCCTGCTGGCCAAACACCTGAATAGCTGTAGGCAGTTCCCCCAATCTAACAATGGCTCTGTATACTAAACCTTGGCCTTTGATGTGTATATCTACCTTGCCTTAGGACAATTTGAGTTAATAAAAAGCTCTGGGTCCAGAGAGACAGGAGGACTTGGTTTCTTTAGCTAAGTCTGCTCTGGCTCTCCAAAATGCCTTCCAAAATTATGGGGACCCAATTGTCCACTTCTTCACATGTTTTGAAGTGCTATTCAGAAAGTGCGTTTGCCATTGATTGGAAGGAGCATGCCATTGATTGAGCGAGTGGTCATCTGAAGGAGCAAGGTCTGGTGAATACAGCGGGTGGGTTAATGCTTCCCAGGCAAGATCTTTTAACGTGTCTTCAACTGGTTTTGTAGTGTGTGATGGTGTATCATCATAAAGCAAAATTACTTTGCCATGTCTTCTGGCCCATTCTGGTCGTTTCATGTTCAAAGCATAGTTCACATTGATTATTTGTTGTCAGTAGTGATCAGAATTAACAGTTTCACCTGGTGCTAGAAGCTCATAATAT